GTGCAATAGTAATAAAGATTTATTGTGATCCGATTCAAATTACATATATCTATATAATAAAGTATGATACAATTCAAATCTCAAAAGATAAACAAAATATTTTTTATTTTTTGCAGTCCAAATTGTTTTAAATTTTATTTTAAAGTTACTCTAACGACTAATATTAACTTCTCAAATTTACTGGCGATAATAGGCTCCCTAAAGATATGTGTGAGGTGATTTTTTAAAAATGATTCTAATAAGTACTTAAAAAAAATAGTGTTTGGAATGATCCTACGACCACCACCACCACTATCGTTACCGCCATCATACCATCACCTTCATTGTCACCGCCACCGCCACCACCACCACCACCATCACCCCATCACCACCACCACTGCCCCACCATTACCATCGTAACGCTGTCACCACCCTACCACCATCGCCTCCACTCAACTACCACCATCACCACTATTGTCATCGCCACCACCCCATCACCACCTATGCCATAACCACCATCGTTGTCACCGTCACCGCCCCACTGCCGTTGTCGCTAGCACCAATGCTACTGCCACCCCACCACTATCACCACTACCACAACCATCGTTGTCACCCCACTACCATCTATGCCACAACTACCATCACCATCACTCCATCGCCACCACTCATCACTCACAACCATCGTTGTCACCTACCACCGTAGTACACAACTACCACCCACCACTATCACCATCTCATTCTTATATTTATTATCATTACCACCATTATCCCACCACCACCGTCGCCCACCATCACCGTCCATTGTCACCCCTTACCATTAACCACCATCACTTGTTGCCTATTGCCACCCACCACTATCGTCGTCACACCACCACCCACTACCATAACTCATCACCACTCGCCATCGTCGTAGCTCCACCACCGTCACTACCCCACCACCACCACTACAAACCACTATCATCGTCGCTCACCACCATTACTATTGTCACCTACAGCTGCCGCCACCACCACTGTCGTCCATTACCACTACCACCACTCACTCCTATCATAATTTGTTTTTAAATTCTTTTATATGTCTTCTATCTTTGTAATTTAATTTTAAATCTGAATACAAATATATTTATTGTTTAGATATTCAACTTTTTACAATTGTATATGGACTAAAAAAATATATTCCTTTAGATATTTTGGATAAAACATTTGTTAGAGTCTGCCGCTACAAATTTATAAGAACGCCAAGAAAATAAGACATCCCACTAACACGAATACTAAATGTCACGTGCCTAATAACAATCAATCTACTTGTTGACTTGTAGACTTACTTAAGTCTTCCAAATTTAATAGGTTGAAACAAGTTTATGTCAAATTTAACGGGTTGTGTTAAAAAAAAAAATATTTCATTCATATTTCATTTGTTTATTAATACATGTCCCAATAATCATGTCATATTAAGTGTGTTTCATTTATCAATTATTTATAATCAATATATAAACGAGTCATATCTTGTATTTTTTTATTGACTTTACTCATATCTGATTTATTTATAAATTATGTCGTGTCGGGTTCATTTATTTACGAAACGGATGATTTAAAGAGAACTCAAACTCTCTTAAGTTCATGCCGTGTTAACGATTTATGTTACATTTTAACATCCCTACATAAATACCCTTACAATATTAAGTTTGGTGAAAAAGAAAAAAGAATCTAAAATGTAAAAATCAACATGATGATTTGTACTGTGTGGCCAGTAAATGAAGTGATTAACTTTCCACTGCGCCACCGGAAAATGGAGCCTTTGTGGATCGGGGATGACTCCACTCACAACTTACTTCTAGGTTCACTCACCACATTTGTTTTAGTCAAAAAGAAAACCTAACATTAGGCCCTTAACCCATGGGGAAATGTGCAAATGCAATTCTCACTCCCTGCAGCACTCCATCTCCAACTCCAAAATAAAGAAAATTTTAAAAGACGGTTTAAGATTCTTTCTATTATATCTTCCTTCAATTTCGCTCGATCATTCACCATATATAGATGGAGGTTCACATAAAAATAATAGGTCCTGCAAATTCACTATCAATGATCTACCGTTCAGAAAAATTGAAGTATAGTGGATGAGATACTAGAAACATTCGACAGTACATAAAAAATTGATCTATTATCCTAAAAAAGTCTTAGGTTAATGCAATGAGGTAGAATGCTGTGATATTGCAGGAGCAAAATACCAACCTCTATGGTCATTCACCAAATGCATCTCGAGATATTAAAGGTAACTAACAAACGAGGTCAATAACATGGAGAACATGTCCCTGCCCCCAGACAGTAGATTGTGAACTGATGAGATTGGCAAACAGCTAATCAATTGAAACTTCAGTCAACAGAAATTTTGACAAAACAAATGGTACGTTGAAATAAATTCTAATCGGTGAAATTGAATAAAACATTTCACGGTTCAAAAGAAGTAATAGAAACAAAAAAGAATACAAAAATCGACGACCAGCTAAAATAGGCCCCAGAAATGGAGTCTGGGTGCTGTAGATTGAATACATACCTAACTTTTAGTATTATTTGCCAAAGTAGATGTCTTAAGGATCACACCCAAAACCTCAAGTAATCTCTGAACCAGTGCGTCTAAGTAAAATTTATATTATAAAGTGACCAAAAAAGATTGATTTGAGTCATCAGCTAAAGCCAGTGTTACCTACAACTATTAAATATTGTAGAGTAACTTTAGGTATCCTTTGCTGCAGTACTGGCAGTGCCTCCTACACTGATATTGCGTAGTGTCTTCATGGGGGCTCTTTTTTTTTTTTTTATGGGACTTTATCAACAATAAAGGGTAACATTACAAAAAAAACCACATCAAGTGTAGACAAGAGGTCCAACACAAGACTGGACAATGAGAACTTTAAAAAAAGAAAAAGAGCAAACAAAACTACAAGCCACAAGATGCTTTCTAGCTTGTTCTAATACAAAAAAAAAGGAATATCTTGAAACTCCTTCGACAATGAAGTCCAAAAAGAGGCCAAACAATATAGTCTTTCCCAAAGCTTCTCAAAATCTTTACATTGATCTTAAAAAATCCTCATATACCGTTCCTCCCAAGTTACCCATAATATAGCAAACAAAGCGTTGTGCCAAATGGTCTTTGACTTTGTATTTCCCACACACCCCATATCATCCATACAAAATATAGAATTCATATTCCTTGAAGCAACCGAAGCAAAGTCCATAAGGTCAAAAAGCTTGTTCCATATTGCTCGTGTCAAAGGACAATGCAAAAATAAATAATCTACACTCTCATTATCATCTCTACGCATTACACACCAATGTGGATGAAGACAATAATTAGGCCTCCTCGTTTGAAGAACCTCAATAATCTTTTCATGAGAAATTATCCATGTACAAACTTGCACTTTAAAAGTCACCGTCCCCCTCAAATCCTCAATGATAAATAGAATAAAAGAAGGAAAAAATCATCTATAAGAAACTCAAAAAACGACTTGCAAGAAAATAGTCATGAAGAATACCAATTCAATTCCTCATATCCTTATAATTTTGAACCAAAGTAATATTATTAAGCAACGAAAGAAGACTCTCCAACCCATATATCCTCCTAGAAACACTCAAGTTCCATCTCCCACAATGAACTTGACTCTGTGAGAAAAGCAAGACAACCCCTGAGAAATGAATCTCCACGTACTCCGAAAAGAGCCCATTTCAACTCCATTAGCATCCCTCCCTATTAGCCTATAACCCATATTTGTTCCTAATAACTGTATGCAACAATGAATTTTGTTCCAATGGGAATCTCTAGAGCCATTTCCTAACCACAGCTACATGTCTTTTTACCAAATTCCCAATCGAATTAAATGGTCCTTCCTCCCCTCCCCTCCCCTCCCCTATCCCACCCCCTCCTATAAAATATCCCTCATTAAACTTTCAATTTTTCTAGCCACCCCAACAGGCAATATAAAAAGAGAAATGAAGTAGATTGGAATATTAAACAAAACTGACTGAATCAATGTTAATCGTCTCCCCTAGAAACAAAAGATTTCTTCCAACCATCTATTCTCTTCCCCACTTTCTCAATAGCAAGATCCCAAAAAAAAATTGTACGCTCTTTAAGGTCACCTAATCTATTAAAATGCAAGCACAAGGGAAGACACCCTTGAAGCATCAAAAAGATTTGTGCAACCAAGAGAAAAAGAGCAGCAAGAAAGACGGGGCCTTTGAAAAGACAGTTAACATTGTTATTTACACCAATCGTCATGAATTCCTAATATTTGCAGCTCAAAAAGACAAAAAAATAATTAAGAATAAATTACCGGACGTTTAGCTTATAACAAAACACATGTGAATTTAATATAATAAATATGAAGCTTGTTGTAAAAAGGCAGCCATTTGCAGAATCTTAAATTCTGGCCTACCCAGAAAAGGGGGGGGGGGGGGGGCGCGAATAAAACCCCACAAAATTAGGAAAAAGGAAGAATGCAAGATTTGTGGGTCATCCATGTTGCATGTGACAACATACATTATGGCACTGGCATGTTTTCGAAATGCCACCCGTTAAACGTGTACTCCTACCAGAAGTCATGTCCAAGATAGAAAAAGACCATCATTGTTGTAGGTCAACATAAGCTTCCCAAACACTTCTCATATTCTCTTGGTTTTGCAAGGACAAGTAAAATATTCACATTACCCATGCTATAATATTCACATTACCCATACTACATATAGCATATACATTGCATTCGGATGGAATACACCGGAGTAGAACATGACTAACAGGAAGTTCATTCTTTTAGTCATGTCCCTGTGTCGTAATGCAGGGCTTAGATGAACCAGTCACCAAGCACACACTTCACACAATCATTCCAGGGCACACAGAAAATAGAGCAACACAAAATGATCCCAATTCCAATCCCAAGCAAATCAAAGCCTCACACACATGCTAGTCCAATGGACACCTTTCATTTCCAAGGCCCCCTATATCACTTGGTTAACTGATGTAAAAGATTTTACCTTGGACTACTAGTACTCCTTAACATCAGCATAATAGTTAGCAGACCAGGAACCATCGCCACACACAAGTGCTCCAATGAGTGTCCACTTATAACGTACCGAGTTACCTTGAAAATTTTCCTGTCAGCAACGACTTCAAATTGCCCTAGAAGGTAAACCCCTGTATCAGGTAATTTTAAAAATTACTGTTTGGATAAATCAACTCAATCTGCAACCTTACAAAAGGTAAGACGCGGGAATATAAGATACAGCAAAGAAAGGTGTTCTGAAAACCAGTATCCTGCAGAAGTTATTTCCTCACTTGATAGTCGGGAAGTACTTTAAAATTTTGGTTGTTCTTTGCCATTCATGCAGAGTTATTTGTGCACATACGATGGGCATGATAAAAAAAACCAAAACTTGATGATACAACAATATTTTTGAGTTTTGCAAAGTTAAGTAGGAGGTACATTTTTCGAACTACCAGATAGGTATGGTTAATATTCAGAATGGTTGTGGTTTAATATGAAAAAGTTCAAAGCCTCATCTTTGCATACTTGAGGGTTTGATTTAAATCAAAACAGAATTAGAGAAGTCACAGGAATAAACCCAAGCAACGTGTTTGATTTCCAATGCATAAGGTAAAATTACTTTTGCCTTTCTTTCTTTTTCCTTTCCTGCACACCTTTGGACATCCACGTCCCAATAATTGTCAGCCCAAAAGTTTGCAAAATGCATATACTAAAGAATTGTCCAATTACTCCTAATATGTATGCTTATGCACGCACAACACACACACACACACACACACACAGATATAGAGAGAATCCCTTGAAGCTATTTGTAATAAATAACATCTGACACATAAAAGCCGAGTAAAAAAAAGGAAAACTCAAGTTTGAGCCTTTCACCATAGATCAATTATGATTTTAACCAGAACAATGTCGCATTGGACATAAATCCAAGTTGCTTCTCTTGCACTTATACAACAATGTAAAGTGATCTGCTTATTTGCATAATGTAGATAGTAACCAAACTCTAGTCTGAGCATTGATAAATTCAATTAAAACCAACTGACTGAATGAAGAGGATGAAGGTATTTATCTGGAAAAAAAATAACAAGGGGCAGAAGTGTGGGGAGATCAACCTTTTTAGGCAGTGTTCACTGCATTCTGAGCATCTACCTTCAATTCAGTAATCCTGATTTTCTTGTTTGGAGACCGAAAAAAAAAGTATATGGTGGAGGAAAAAAAATTATGAATGAAACATTTGACGAGTTGGGACAGGAGTTCTACACCCAATTACTTAACATTTGAATACCAAATTACTGGCATTGTTTTCAGCACAACAACTACAATTATATTTGCTTTGTTGAATTCTACTCATTTGTGGGCTTATGGACGATTGCTACAATAATACGCATGATGCATTTTATATTTAAAATCGATCATAAATTTCAAGTTTTCAACTAATGTCTACACAACCAAAAATAAAACTGGGAGTTTCTTACCTGCAGAATCGTCATGTGGAACTTAGTATGTCAATAAATATGACTCGATACATTCAGAAAACTAAGAGCAATTGCGTACCTGCTGCCAAGAGCCAATACCTTGAATGAGTATATTTCGGTGGGTACAACAATGTCACACACGGAATGGCTATGCATGGAATCAATTGGAACATCATGCACATGCGAAGATCATTCAAATTTCTGCAACCAGCTAGCATAGCAAATCCGGGATTAAACTAAAATTAAACGGCTCGACATTAACTGTTCATGCCAAAAATGTAATCAAGCAAGGAAATCCACCAAGTGGAACATCAAAACACCCTTCACTCAGCAAAGCAATAAATGAAAACAATAAACTAACCTTTCATAAGCTGTGCTGATAAAAGCAACAATAAGGAGACCAATCAAGCAAGTCAATCCAACCCTCTTCCCCGCCCTTTCAACAATTAGACTAGAAAGCACTGAGGAATAAGCAATCATCATCTGCAATTTAGAATGCACAAATGCATAAGCAAAAGAGTAAAAAACAAGAAGTTAGTGAAATTCACATGAAAATCAATAACCAAATGAGTCAGAAAAGAAATCATTATTGAGATTAAAATACTAAAAATAAATTGCTAACCGGCAATGTGTCCCAAGTTACTCTACTATTATCAGGCTTTAGATGATAGTAAGCAGACCCAAAAGCTACGGCCGCAATCCCTGTATAGAAAATAGTCCAGCCCCATATCTCTCCTCTCAAACTACAACCAGCCCATTTCCAAACTAAACATCAAAAACGTAAACAGCACATGTACAGAACATCTTTAAAGAGGAAATCACAAACCTTATATTGAAGAAATCTCCTTCGAGACAGAGGACAAAACCCAGAACACCAACAATCAAGAAAGGGAAGTTTGTGATCACATTCAGTGTATTAGGAACTCCTGTGAGAGAAAAAAAAAATCACATATAGTGCAGAAATCAAAAATCAACCGTACAATGAGAAAGAGAAGCACCTAAGAAATTGCGCATGTCAGAAAAGCTGTGGTGTTCGGGGGAATGAGAAAGTTTGGGTGTGACCAGCATGAGAAAGAACCAAAAGAGAATTGCTCCTACACACATACGTGTTCGCTTTACTTTGGGAAGATGATGATCGACTACCCATGACATCTCTTTCTCTCTCTCTCCGTTCGACTCTTCGCTTTCTCGCTTTCTTTTTCTGAACTTTCCTTTTCTGTTACTTCCATTCAAATGTCGTCAAGGCGTTTTCATATTCTCGTTTTGTGCAGAAAAAAGGCCCATTAAGATTGGCCCAGTAGACAGGCCTTGGCCCGGCATGGCCTATAGACTGGTAAATAACTCTGTGAGTTAGCCCATGACTGTGCATGAGCCATTTGCTAGCGGGCTCAGTCGGCCCAGTTGTTGCAACTCTTATGCCGTTCCTCGCAAAACTACAAATTAAGTACCACAAATTGGGTAAATATTTAATGTAAGAGTGACGTTACGTCATTGTTGTCACGTGATGTAAACATCTAACAATAAGCTAATAAATGGGACAAATAAACCCTACTTTATTTACACTGAGGGTATTATTTAAAAGAGTGGGATTTATTTTACTCATTTCTGATGTTATAATTGTACGATTATACCACATGATAATGATAATGTGATATATCGGATACAATGAAACTTTTATCAACAAAATACCACCTTTTAAGTGTTGAATGCATAACCATGGACACCACCCCACATCGATCATCGTCGTTGCTACCACAAACACAACCACCACAATCACGCACTAACCCCAATTATACTACACCAATTGCAACCGTCACCACCTCCCAATTTATAGTACACCATTGTGGGTTTTTTTTTTATGCCTATTTCTTCATATTTTTTTTTTTTGTTGCAAAGATAGAACTACTCTCTCGAGAGTAAGAAGAGTGGCTCATAAACTATCTCAACTACCAAAACCTAGACCCAATCCCTTGACCCCGCCTTTCTTCTTCCTCTTTAAGTATCGCTAATCAAACCCTTACTCGCCTTTATTGATGTTGACGTGACAACAACTATTTAACCGGAAGTAAAAGGCATTAATCTTTAAACATACATATTCAAACGAAGCCTTACACCTTCCTCAATGATTGAAACTAGGTGGACTAATCTTTATCTTGAAATCTCAAATTCTACCTCTCAAAGACAACTCCAATTAATCTTTACATGCATGGTTTTTACAAACGATTGTTTATAAAGATTATGCATTTGAAATAATTTTTTTTTATTAAGTGGTAAAAATGTGCTAAATTATGCTGATTAAATCTGATTTGAAAAACTTAAATCTGACCATCACATTATATTCAGCTATTAGGTGACCAACTTTTTTCACTAAAAAATCACTTATCTGAAACTAATGGCTAACTTGGTTGACTTCAATAATTATAATCATTTAACCCTATTCTGCCCTTTACTTTTCTACTTTTCCTTGTTTGGCTAAAAAATGCAAAATTGAAAGACAATTGTGTTATAGTTTCACAAGATTCGATCAATTGCCAAACAATCCTTTGTTCTTTCGATAGGCCAGAGTTGCTCAAGTAATGCTGGAAAGTAGGGGAACAAAGCCCCATACGCGTCCATTTGGTAGATAATAGCCTTGTAACCCAAGACACGTTATGATACTAAAAAATGAATATTAATCATGTGATTTTTAAATTTTAAATAATAATTTATTTTTATTTTTATTTTTTTACTTATGTAATTAAAATTAAAGTGAATAGAGAGAAAATAAAATAAAGATCGGTGTAGATTAATGAGACGATTTGCATTGGAGAGTATGTTGATTAAATTGTATGACATTTAGGAGTATGCCGAGGAGAATATAATATTTTTGAGTGAGAAAATAAATTTTGTACCATTAAATTAAAGTATATATAAATTGAATCAATCTAACGTGTGAGATTGGGAGGGGAAGATTATTACCTTCGGGCTAGAGCAAGACAACCAAAATTAGAATCAACGAATTGACCTTTGAACCAATGATATTCGTTGTCTTGTAAAAATTGTCTTCTTAGCGTGAATAGTTCAAGTTCTTTGTGTTAGACCAAAATCAGTTTTTTAGTGTAAAAAATAGAGTTTTTAGTTAATTTTGAGCCTAAATTAAAATAAGACCCATTAGTTATTTCGAATAAATTTTCGTGGGTTCATATTCTACTCTATGAGGAGTATAACGTGGAATATTCACTTGTTCAAATCGAATAAGAAATTAATGAGAAAATAAGCTCTAAAGTGACCCTCTTGAAGAGTGAAAATAGAAAATGTGCAATGTGAGATTTGACACCAATCCCACATTGGTTGAGTAAATAATTCAACATGAGCATATATAACTTAAGTTTGCTCTATAGATTGGGTCCCAAGGAGTACCACAATTTTATGAGCAGAGCGAGCACTTTCATGCCATTGGGTCTTCCACATGTGCGTGCGTCGCCCGCCTCGCCACGACCTGGCCGGGCTCGAGTGCGGGTATGCTTTAGACCAAACTCTATCTTTTGGAGAAAATTTATTTAATTTAATTGGGCATAAATTTCTTAACCCGAAATTAATTTCGGTATTTGCTCCAGTCCGAACCCGTTGGATAGTTTGGATTTTCAAGCTGTCCGAAAAGTCACCAATGCATCTATAAATACCCAAGTCATGCATTCGTTTTATTATTCAGATAACCAGATTGTTTTCAGCATTAAGTGTATTACATTTCGGCATTTTAAGGCAGTACATTTTGATAGTACACGACACAAAATTTGGTTCATTATACGAACAAATTGAAGTGCTACTTCTGTTTGTGGTAGATCATTGTATCTTGGGAGGCAGGGGCTCGGATTCCATAAGCACCGTGTGTGGGGGCGAAATCTGTCTTAAGGAAATAGTGTCAAACACTAGCCTTGACCTACTACGAGTTCAATAACAGTTACTGTTCTGCAACCGGATTAGGTTTTACATTAATTTGACATAGAATTACGTGTATCTGTTTGCTGTAACTCTTTCGTGTTTACTGTAACTGTTTTGATTTGTGTTACGGTTCTACAGTTCACATTTACTGTTTATTTTATTTTAAGTTGCATAATATCAGAAAATATCAATAAGTGATTTTACAATTTTTGAAACACCTCAAACAACACTTTGAACAATAAAAACGTGGTTAGTTGGTAGAACAGACTTCAGTTGTTTGGACAAACAATATCTAAATATCTGGTGTGGATTCAAATGCCCATGAAATTGTAATTCCTACTTAAACTAATGTATAGATTGAGGAACCACTTTATACATTTGAAATTTGCTCTCAATTATATTCGAACTCATGAGCTTGAGCGATATAAACAAAGCTCTACTTGCTAGGGATAGGCCAAAAATTTCTAACCTCACCAAACCCACCCCCCCCCACAAAACAAGAATTATAAAAAAAGTATTGATTGGTGAGGTGAGGGACTCAACCTTACCCAAAGAAATTTAAGATACAGTACGGTTTTGATTGGATAAAACTTTGTTTGTCACTAGCGTCCAATATGAGCAATCATTTCAGTGGGCCATGTGGCTTGTGGAATCACTATTGCTAAAAAAACACCCAATGCATGTGGCCAATTGTCTTGGCATCATCTTTAGATTAAAAAGAAGGGGGAATAATATTTTATTTCGAAAGACCTAAAAAATTTTATCTTATACTTTTAATAATTAAATTTTTAATATCTTAAAAATGTTGCAATATAGTCTTTTTATTAGCTTCCATTGTTTATTCTGTCAACATCACTGGAGTATTTTTTGATAGAACGAGCAACAAAAATTAACCGAATTGATATATTACAATAGTTTTAATACATTTAACGTGCAATATAAAAAATTAGAATTTTGAAGGTACAAAATAAAAAATTTTAATTATTCAGGGTATAAAAGTGAAATTTGCCATCAAATCCTTATATCACTGTAAATAAGCCATGTCCACACACATGCAACATAAGTGCCATAAGTTTCTCCATCCCATGTTGTCACTCAATTATCGTTCATATTTCTAATTTTATTCCATATGTACCCTAATTTTTTATTTTTTATTCATTACTTAAGTAAAAGCATAGTCTAAATTCACCTATTCCAACATTACACAAACAGGAGCAGAATTAAAAATTTTATTTATGCTGGACATTTACTTAAAAATTATAAAAAAAAAATTTAATCAGTAAATTAAAATAATATATTTAAATTTATTATATTGTATTTGATACTTAAAGATTCATAAAATATAAAAAGAGTTAAACATCTGTAAATATAGTGTGAACAAATAAAAAAAAGAGACTAATTACAATTTTTAAAAATAAATGTAGTTGACTTCGTAAAAGATATTATACTCTTTCTCTATAGATAAATAATATTTTTTATAAAAAAAAATAGAATGGGGCCATGCCCCTGGTCCTCAGGTGGTTCCCCCCATGTTATAAAGCTTTATAAAGCATTTTATAAAGCTGTAATTGTTCCAAAGAGACAGTAAGTTCAGCGCTCCTCAAGGCCGACTTTCTTATGAATGCATTCGTTCTTTTGAAGATGGTCATTTTTTTTAGTACTGCGGTAGAGTGTTTGATGCATTTTTCGGGTATCTCGATTTATTTTCTTTTCGATTCGATTAAAAATACGCATCTTTATCGAGACTAAGACATTTATGAGGTAAAAACGAGATTATTTAAGAAATAATATAAAATTAATAATCATAGTTAAAAAAATGATTTACCATTGAATTAATTATTAAAATTTTCAAAAATTAACATATTATTAGCAAAGTGTGTGAGTAAAACTTAGGATAGTGGTAAACTGGCCAAAAAAAAAAAATCAAATATTTTTTATTTGAACAAACAACAATCGATGTATTACCGTTATGAACTCAATTTTCTTTATCGTTATATCATTTGGTTTTTATTTTTTATTTTTAGTTAGCATAACCATAAAACTTAACATTAACCGATTTCCATCAATTATTTATTAATTTATTTAAACAATTTTATTTTTTAAAATGATAGATGCAAAAATGACATAATTAAGTTTATAATTATTAACTAATAATCCCTTGATCCCAACAAAACTAACTTTTGTAGGCAAGAAAGATGTCACAACTTTTGTTATCAAGTTGAACTGTTGAGGTGTCCTTCTTCTCTTGTTTTCTAGTCTAAAATAAAGAGAGATGATGACTTA